AAATTACATATTGTAGAAAAATATGAAAATGAATACCTAGAGAATAACTTCCCGGGCGAGTAAATTTAAAAATCAGTTTTAAATCGTTTAATGACACTGTTGAAAGTACTCTTTACGCCGAGCCGACAGACACGAAATCATCGCAGCTGACAGCACCTATTAGACGGGGGTGACATCCCTGTCACGCCCATACGACAGGTCGTAATTCGTAACATAACATGTATAACGCAGGCCTGACACGATATTTCAGTTTTATCTTCCGTTTCAATTCAACGCAGAAATTCGAACCGGTTAACATAGATTACACACTCGTCCACTTTTTTTTCCCCAGTGATAAATAAAGCTCGAAGAAATTCTTCATCAAGTCTTTAAGTATGAATGAATGTTTTACAACAGTTTCGCGACACTTCAATTCGTTAATATACCATGTTCTTTCTCAAGTCGCTTATTTCAAAATGATAGTTTAATAATCAACGAATGATTTAACATTCTGTTCCTTATACTACTAAAACAGGATTAGAATTTCTTTAATAAACAGAATTCCTCGAAATCCCTCATTTTCCATTTCATACACTTATATGTTTGTATCTTTGTGCATACAGTGTTTACCTATTATAAATTTTCTACAGTCTTGAGAGATTCTGACTCGTTCGTAGAGTTCAAGTCATTACAGGTGTGCATACAATGTTTCGGTTTGCGGTCGCTCACCTGCGAGCTTTGTTTTTATTATTATTAGTTTTTGGAGCAATGTTCAGTGCCGATTTTTCATCGATGTATATGAAACATAGGAGAAACAAGATTCGATTATTCTCAGAATCAGTATAAGGTATTAATTCTCAAGTATCAAGTGTAATTTTTAATCTTGGACTAACCGTGTACGCATCACTGTTACAATCGCTTATTGTTTCATAAACAATTTAATTAAAATTTAATAGAATTAATAAAGTCTTAAAAAAAAGCTAGAATAGCAACTACGAGAAATTTGTAATATCATATATATCATACATATTCTAGCGGACGTTTGATACTGGTCGTCAAGTATATAGTATCCCAAGTTACAAAGATTTATTATGATTGAACGGTGTGTTAAACACAATGTTTTAGAGTTGTCGATTGTACACGTTTATGAATGAAACGATTTCGTGAATGTGAAAGCTTACTACGGTTAATCGTGTGATAAACAAATGATCGTGATGGACGAAAACACACGGTTTTTTTGTATTAGTTACCGCTAGTCGCATACTGGTAAGTGAGGTCTCAAATCGCTTATCGTGTAAACATTTACAAGTGGTGTAAACAAGATGTTCTTTAATCTAAGTACATCGAATGTAGCAGCCTCAAACATTAGCCAGTTCGTTTATTAAACCTTTCCACGGAACCAACTTCACTCTGCGGTTCCGCAGTCGCAGTATAGACATACCTGTCTGTAATGATGAATGAACAATTTCCTTAAGCAATAAACTTCTGTGAAACTTATTCCACTAAATAGTAATTTAATTTAGCCAACTATTTGTTTCAAAAATTATAAAGTAATACGTCTTTCAAATCAAACTCACGTAGAGGCAGTTTCTCTAGAATATTGCATTCATTTTTGTTAATTTTTTATTACTTATAATCTTATAACTATTCTGATTCTCACTTACAGAAGGTTTTAATAACCTTCAGACATGAAAATTCTAACTTTTCCTGATTCTTATGATTGAGCTGGGTATTACATTTCCCCAGTACACATTTACTATTTAACTATAGGCATTATGAACAGATATAGTATTCCAAGATTTAAAAAACTCTGATATTTATAACGAGGTTACTCCAGTATCAACGATATTTGCTATCTAGATCAACAGATCGTTCTCACATGCGCACTCCCGTTTATAAGTACATACAATCTATTCCTTCTCTCTACCTCTCGATACACCATGAAATCGACAAGGGATAAACGTACCACCCACAGTTCCTCCCCCGACCGCTCTTCCTTCCTCCTACTGCTCCTTCTCTTTTCTCGTTCAGTCAGTAAAGTGTAAACGAGATCAATCTGCAGACGCCTGTAGGCCCCAGTTTTCCTCTTTCTCTTTTTCTTCTACCCTGGTCTCGCGATGTATTTCTGGAGTCGATCTCTTTACTTCGCGACTATAGCATCGTTGTTGGCAACGGCGACCGCTGATATTCGTTCAGGCAACCGCTTCCTCTGCTCTTCTTTCACTGCCATCGTATTTTGATTTGCTTGAACGTGTCCCATGTTCGAAAGGAAAAGAAAAGGACAGACAAATTTGCACGCGCAAGAAACAGATCGGCCGAGCAGGGAAACTTTGGATTCAACGGAGAGATGGAGAGGTCGGGAGAGATTTTGACTGACGGCACTGCCATTGAGACCACACACGACGCTGTTTTAAGATTTCTCGTTACACTTGCCTTCGATCTGGAATTAAACCAAAAATTCCAATCACCATCGAGAACATTCGCTTTTATTCATACTACGTCTAACCAATACTATTAACCGATTTTACCTCATCTTATTGGCGAATAATTTTAATTTTCTTCCAACTAAAACTACTTCTACAGATGTTAATTACGTTTATGTAATTTTCAGATATTACCTTTCTACATCTTCTTACTTTATTTCGTTCTTTTTACTTTCTCAACGAAGGTGGAATTCTATAGTTTTCGTAAAGATGTAAAATGTATGCAGAAAGATCTGTAGGAAGAAAAGAGCACAAGTGAAAGAGGAAAATAAGAAGACAAAGATGAGAGTCGAGACACGAGTGAAGTGCACACTTGAAGAACTACTTGAGAGCTGCCGGAGCTTCGGATTTATCGTACAAGGGCTGATTTCGTATCGTTCAGCTCTTTCGCGTTTTCTTCTTCATTTCTTCTTGTCCCTTCATGTGTGGTCTCCCTCACTTCGTAAAAATCTCTGTAAAACTCATTCGTTCAAAAAAAAAAAAAAAAAAAAAAAAAAAAAAAAACAGCATTTAAATGCAACGTTTCAAATATTAGGAAATATCTAAAAATTTTGATTGCTTAAAACATATAAGAAGTACTATTTTTATTAACAATAAAAAAAGTTCTTTAATATCTCTTAATAGCTGGACTTGGCAATTAAGTGCTGTTTTTTTTTTTTTTT